TGCGGCTGAAGCAGGAATATTTCGTGGTGGCGGCCACGCTCCACGACATCGTCCGGCGCTTCAAATCCGCCAAGTTCGGCAGCCGCGACCCCGTGCGGAAATCCTTCGAGAGCTTCCCCGACAAGGTGAACCCCGAAAGCTCCGGGGACCCCCCCCCAAAAATCGGCCCCGGCCCCGCTGAGCCCTCCCGCCCGCCGCAGGTGGCGATCCAGCTGAACGACACCCACCCCTCGCTGGCCATCCCGGAGCTGATGCGGATCCTGGTGGACGAGGAGCACCTGGGGTGGGACCAGGTGGGTGGGGGGGACACGCCCGGACCCCCACGCCCCTCCCCAAATCACGGGGGAGGGTCCCTCAAAACCCGCGGGCCACGTTCCGCATCCCCCCCCTGGGTGGGGGGCACCGGGGGTCACTCCGGGGGTGTCCACGCGTGTCCCCCCGCAGGCGTGGGACATCACGGTGCGCACCTGCGCCTACACCAACCACACGGTGCTGCCCGAGGCGCTGGAGCGCTGGCCCGTGCACCTGCTGGAGTCGCTGCTGCCGCGGCACCTGCAGCTCATCTACGAGATCAACCAGCGCTTCCTCGACGTGAGCGAATTGGGGGGGGTCCCGGGGGTCGTGGGGTGTTGGGGCACCCCGGGGGTTTGGGGATCCGGGGGTCGTGGGGTGTGGGGGGACCCCGGGGTCATGGGGTCCCGGGGGTCGTGGGGTGTGGGGGGAACCCCGGGGGTTTGGGGATCCGGGGGTCGTGACGTGTGGGGGTCTCTGTGGGTCCATTATCCCTGGGGGTTTCAGGAGGTCTCAGGGGGTCTCTGTGGGTGGGGTGTCCCTGGTGGGGTACCTGGGGGTGTCTCAGGGGGTCTCCGTGGGTCCCTTGTCCCCGGGGGTGTCCCGGGGGGTCTCTGTGGGTATCTCAGGGGGTCTCCGTGGGTCCCTTGTCCCCGGGGGTGTCCCGGGGGGTCTCTGTGGGTATCTCAGGGGGTCTCCGTGGGTCCCTTGTCTCAGGGGGTCTCTGTGGGTGGGGTGTCTCAGGGGGTCTCTGTGGGTCCCTTGTCTCAGGGGGTCTCTGTGGGTCCGTTGCCCCTGGGGCTGTCTCAGGGGGTCTCTGTGGGTGGGGTGTCCCTGGGGGTGTCTCAGGGGGTCTCTGTGGGTCCGTTGCCCCTGGGGCTGTCTCAGGGGGTCTCTGTGGGTCCCTTGTCCCCGGGGGTGTCCCGGGGGGTCGCGGGGGTCCTGACGCGCCCCCCACCCCAGCGCGTGTACGCGCTGTTCCCGGGGGACCTGGAGCGGCTGCGGCGGATGTCGCTGGTGGAGGAGGGCGCGGTCAAGCGCGTGAACATGGCTCACCTGTGCATCGTGGGCGCGCACGCCGTCAACGGCGTGGCCGAGATCCACTCGCAGATCCTCAAGGACAGCGTGTACGA